GTATGGAGGTTCCTCAAGAAACTAAAATATAGAGCTACCATACGACCCAGCAACTCCACTCCAGAGTATATATCCAAAGAAAACAAAAACATTAATTTGAGAAGATATTTGTACCGCAGTGTTCATAGCAGCATTATTTACAATAACCAAGATATGGAAGCAACCTAAGTGTCCATCAACAGATGAATGGGTAAAGAAGATGTGTGTGTGTACGCGCGCGCGCACACACACACACACACACACACACACACTGGAATACTACTCAGCCATAAAAAAGAATGAACTTTTTCCATTTGCAACAACATGGATGTAACTTAGAGAAATAGGTCAGGGAGAGAGAGACAAGTATTGTATGTTATCACTTATATGTGGAATCTAAAAAGTAAAACAGGGACATCCCTGGTGGTCCAGTGGCTAAGACTGCACTCCCAATGCAGGGGGCCCAGGTTCGATCCCTGGTTAGGGAACAGATCCCACACGGTGCAACTAAGACCTGGCTCAGCCAAATGAATAAACAAATATTTTTAATAAATAAAATAAACTAGTGAATATAACAAAAAGAAACAGACTCATAGATACAGAAAAGAAACTAGTGGTTACCAGTGGGGAGGGACAAGAAGGGTAGGGGATTTAGAGGTGCAAACTATTATATATAAAATAAATAAGCTATAGGGATATATTTTACAGCATGGGGAATTTAGCCAATATTTTATAATTAAGAAAGGAAGAGAAATCACATTATGTAGAGTATATATAGATAATTTGCTTTTACAAAAACAAAATATTTGGACATTTTCTATTCAGTATAGCTTAGCAATCCAGTTTCTGTTGACAAATTTAGTTAACTGTTAGGAGGTATAGTACATATTCAAGAGAACTTAATAGCCCGCAGATATTTTAACCCTTAAGGATGACATGTCTGATTTAATTTTGTTTTTGTTTTTAAAGAAGATACTGGTGGGAATTCCCTGGTGGTCTAGTGGTTAGGACTCCGAGCTTTCACTGCTGAGGTCATGGGTTCTATATCTGGTTGGGGAACTAAGATCTCGCAAGTCACGTGGTGTGGCCAAAAAACAAAAAGGAGATAATACTGGCCTTTTTTAGTAGAGGCTTTGAGCTGCTTCTCTCTCTTTTTTCCTCCTAATTCTTGTTCTTTAACAGCATGCTTAGCTTGTACCTGTTCACATTCTTCCTGTGCTGTTTGATTTGATGTTTTCTTTTTCTTTTTCTTTGGAGTAGCAATAGAATTTACTCTTATGCTACATTGTTCTTCTGGCCGAGGCTGCTCAAAGCTACTGTGTTCTTCAGACAAAGTCTGGTCAATACTATATTGCTCTTCTGGCAAAGGTTGATCTACGTATTCTTCTTACAAAGGCTGGTCAACTTGTTCTTCTGATAAGGACTGGTCAGCTTTTCTAGGTGGCTTCCTGAGTCTTTCCTCTACATCTAAGTAGAGGTGCTTCAGATGATCAGGATATAAGTCTGTGAATTGTGATTCCTGTGAGGTTTGAGCCTTCATTTCCTGTCGTAGCAATTTCTTATAATTTTTCTGACTTTTTAGTTTTCTTCAAAATGTGAAGCCTTCCCTCACGAACTTTCCCCACAAAGGCCTACAGATGGTTGATGGTTAGGTTGCCATGTGCTCTGTTTCACATTCTTATTTATGAATCCTGCCAATAGCTCCTTTGTTACGTGTCCCAAAAATCCCTGTCTGCCACCTTGCTGCCAGCATCACCGTGGCCACATTTTTTTTTTTTTTTTTTTGCGGTACGCGGGCCTCTCACTGTTGTGGCCTCTCCCGTTGCAGAGCACAGGCTCTGGC